ACTGGAATGAAATTCCTGCCATCCCAGAAAGTGGGTGAGAGTGAGGGATGGCTGCACCTTTGTTCACCAAGAGGGTATGGGATATAAGAGTAACAAGGGGGATGTTGCACCTTTCTAGTCGTCCGGGTCTGGAATGTCCTTGGAGTTCCCAGCAAGTGGAGCCTGTTCTTAAGTCCCTGGAATCTGGGAGAATGCACTTGCTTTAAATATCCAAAATGGTCAAGCTGCTTGTAAACATTCAAAATGCCTGCACCCTCTGGCCAGACAAGAGCCTACAACTCAGCCTGCCTTCCTCTTTGCTGCTTCCCCTTTTATTCCCCAGCCATCAGAACAGTTCTCCATGCAGTCCCTGGCTAGCAGGGCCAATTTTTAGGCCAATTCTTAGGTCCTACCACCACTCGGCAATATCCAAGCTGTCTGTGCCGTCAGGATTGCTGCCAGACTGCAGCTCTGTATGTCTCCTTTTTTGGTGTTTTCATGCAAATTCTCCTGCTAGTTGGAGATTAGTCCACTTCTATATCCTTCCCTTCAAGACTCAGGGGTCCAAGATTATCTTCTGTATCTGTGTTAATTGGTTCTCCTTTTCTTTGTTGAAGAGGGTCTGTGCAGTCTTTCTGCTTATTCTGCAATCTTATCGGAACTCCTTAACAGTTTTTCTATGACTGTGATGGGAGATATGCATATTAAAGTCATTTGACTTCCTTTCTGCATCCTCATTTAAAATGGCGGCTCATCACAGCCCACTACCCAGAAGGGAGCAAGTAGTTGGACCCATGTGCTCGGGACCACGGTCTCAGGGGACATCAAACTCAGTTGGCATTACATACTACACAAAAACATTGTTCCCCATCCTACTTTGGCGAGTAGCGACTGGGATCTTAAAAGCTTGCAAGTGGCTGTCTAGATGCAACAGTGGGTCTCTCCTCATCCAGAGCAAGGAAGAATGAAGAAAACCAGGGATGCATTAAAACAATTAGTCCAGAGGACTGGTACACCATGTGATGCTCAGCTTATACGACTATGAGACCAGAAGAACTAGACGGTGCCCAGCTATCACTGTCAACCACTTGAAGGGTGATCCATGTAGGAGATCCTGGATAGAATGGGAGAACAATGTGGAATAAAACTCAAAATCATTAGAAAAAAAGAGACCAGGTTTCCTGCTGTGTTAGAGTCTCGTGGAACCCCTGAGACTATGGCCTCTAGCTGCTCTTCAGGTCTGAAATTGAACCCACTCCTGTGCCTTCCAGCCAAACAAAAGATAGGCATATGAGCTGAACATTTACATCAGGTAGATACACTCCTTGGAGAGATCAATCATAGGAGAATAAAAGGGCTGTGTATGTACAGGGAGACAGCTTGAGGGGCAGGAGGGCATGGGAGGGAAGGACACAGGGAAGAGGTGGAGGAAGAGCTCACTTTTGAGCTATTGCATTGTGGGAGATTACGGTCAATGTCATGCAACAAAGTGTACGTGAGCTGCTGTATGGAAGGTGAATATGTTCTGTAAACTTTCACCCAAATCACAGTAAAACAAGAACAACAAAAAAAGATGGCTCAAGTAAATGACAGCAGATACTGTCTGTATCGGGGAGAAATTGGGAAGAAGGTGTTTTGTGGCTAGTAGAATGAGTACCCTGCTGAGGGTTCTGCTGACTGCTGCCTACCAGAGGCAGTCCAGCAATGCCAGATCCTCTACTATTCCAGTTAGAAAACCCATTGGGTTAGAACCTGGGGTTTTACTTAAACCTTCCCACTTCAGAGTGGTTTAAAGCACATGATGGAGAAAGTGGCCACATATGACATAAGGCTTGCACCATAGGCCAAATTGCTCAAGCTGGGTCAGAGGAGGTACAGACTGGCAGCCTCGCTTTCATCTTTGGTCTGATGCTGTTGTTGTATTGGAAAAGTCAGCCAAGGCAGCTCCTTGGATTATGTGGCAGCCTAGCTCCTGAGAGCCAGTCCAGGGTGGGCAGGTCCCCACAATGCCCTGTACTCCATATTCAGGTACAGGGTGAGTGCATCTGATGCCCAGGGCCGTGCTGACCTCAGTGCACTGTCCCTCTACAGATTGAGATGGCCATCTTACGGTTCCCCTATGAGTCCTGGGGGACCCCGTTCCAGCAGCTGAAGCAGGTGGTAGAGGAGCCGTCCCCCCAGCTTCCAGCTGATCATTTCTCCCCTGAGTTTGTGGACTTCACTGCTCAGTGGTAAGTTTCCTGTTCTCCCCAGGCTCTAATCTGCACCCCTGCCCAGTGCCCTTCTCTCTTAACAACACACCCCAAGACAACATGTTATTGAAATGTATAAGGCAGAAATTGTTAGAATATAAGAGAAATTTGACAAAACTCTGGTCCTGTATGAAACTTTAATATCCTTCCAGCAATGGACAGACTGTTGTCGTTATGTGCCATTGAGTCAGACCCGACTCATAGCGACTCCTCCTTGGGTTTCCGAGGCAGTATCACTACAGAAGTAGATTGCCCCATCTTCCTTCTGAGGAGTGGCTGGTGGGTTTGAACCGCCAGCCTTCTGGTTAGCAGTCAAGTGCCTTAGGCACTATGCTACCAGAGCTCCTATGGACAGACTGTTGTTGTTGTTGTTATGTGCCGTCTAGTCAGACCCGACTCATAGCGACCCCTCCTTGGGCTGCCGAGGCAGTATCACTACGGAAGTAGATTGTCTAACCTTGCTTCCGAGGAGTGGCTGGTGGGTTTGAACCGCTGGCCTTCTGGTTAGCAGTCAAGTGCCTTAGGCACTATGCTACCAGAGCTCCCATGGACAGACTAGGTAGACCAAAATAAGAGTATATGGATGATTTGAATAACATACAAGTTTGCTCTCATTGACATTCAGACTTTTGTGCCAAATTAAAGAATAACCATAGGACTCTTAGGAACATTAATTGTGTTTGAGCTTCCAAAAACCCAAAAACCAAACCCACTGCTTTCAAGTTGATTCTGACTCATAGAGACTTAGAGTAGACCTGCTCCATAGGGTTTCCAAGACTATAAATCTTCATAGAAGCAGACTGCGTCATTTTTCTCCCATAGAGCAACTGGTTTGCACCTCTAGCCTTTTGGTTAGCAGCTCAATATTTTAACCATGTTGCTACCAGTGCTGCTTGAGCTTCCAAAGGAAATATCAATAAATTCCCCAGAGGTAAATCACATAGGCAGTGTTCTTTGATGATGATGAAATAAAACTAGATAAAGAAAAGCTACCTGGAAATTAAAAAGGAATTCTTCTAAATAACTCTTGGGTTAAGGATGTTATAAAATAAAATTACAACTAGAAGTAAAAAAACAATGAGAATACGAAATGCAAACATCTATGTGTTGTATGCAGAGAGACACATAAAGTACACTTCATAGCCTCAATTACTCTTTCTAGAAAATAAGAAAGACTGAAGACAAATGAGCCAAGCAGTCATTGGCCATCCTGACCTGCTTTACTTGGGGCCTCCCCTCTCTCAAGAAATTTCCTCTTCAGATTAAAGGCCTTGAGTCTTATTATACATATATAGTATTTCATTATCAGAAGGGCCTTTGGAAGTTCCCTAGAGACAGGAAACTAAGGCCTAGGGAGGTGAAGAAACTTATCCCAAGTCTCTTTAATTTGCACCCATGGACTCCACTTGCCACCATACCTCGGGAGCCCCCAGAATTGTTCCCCCTTTCCCTTTTTGAGCCTGGAAGCAATTGTAGTTCTGTTCATGCCCAGTCAGGGGCTAGGCCAGTCTGCCTGGGGATGCTGGACTCCCTTCCTCTGTATCTCTCAGCCTTAGCCTACCCTGTTCTTTTCTAGCCTGAGGAAGAACCCCATGGAGCGCATGAGCTACCTGGAACTGATGGTGAGTGGGGGCTGACACTCTGCCTGCTCTCTTTTGGTATCTCTGGAGAGAAGGCCTGACCCTGTGCCCAGAAGTGGGCACCTTCATTAACTCATTTATGTCCTAGTCATTCATTTACTCATACACCATTGGGCTTTCTGCCCCACACCAGGTCCTGCAGAGAGCAATCCTGGGGCAGGGAATATGGAGGGGCTAAAGGGGAGGCGAAGTGGTTTACTCAGAGGCATCAGGGAAAGCTTCACAGAGGAGATGCCATTTGAACTGTGCCTGGAAGGATAAAGAAGGGTTACTCACTGATGAAAGGAATGGTAGAAAGTTCCAGAGGGCTGGCATGTGTGGACAAAAGTGAGTAGCTTAGTTTGGCTGGAGGCCTCACTTTCATGAGGGTGACCGCAAGCAGGCCAAGGGAGAGCCCCAAACCCTGTCTCCAACAGTCAGGGTGGGCTTTGAGGGTAGAGGTCCTAGAAGGAATAGCCATTTGCCCATCTTGGGCCACAAGAACAAGCAGGGACTGGTCTAGCTTCCCTCATCCCTACCCACAGTGACTGCCTCCTTCTCTGACCCCTAGGAGCACCCTTTCTTCACCTTGCACAAAACCAAGAAGACGGACATTGCTGCATTCGTGAAGGAGATCCTGGGGGAAGACTCATAAGGGTGGGGCCTTGGACCCCTTAACCCTCAGAGCACCTCAGCCTCTCTCTGCTGGGGTAGGGCTGGCCTACATCCATAAGCTACTGCCACTTGGCCTTGGGGTGCCCAGAGGAGCTGGGGGACTCTTTGCACCTGGCTCTGCCATAGACCATCTTCCCAGGTGCCAAAGAACCAGTCCATCGGGGACACCCAGCTGGGCCCTGGGACCTTGGCCCCACCAGTGCCTCTGCCTTTGCTGCTCCAAGGACCCTACGTCTCCAGCCCCCAAGACCCTGGAATTGAAGGGGACTGGATGTTCAGTTGAAGCTCCCTTTTGGGGCTCTAGGCATCCCCACTGGACATTGTTGCCCCTTGCAGCCTGTGTAGACAGCTGCTGTACCAGCTTGGCCCCAGATGCCACTGAGTTGTATATTTTTTTATCTTTTGACTAAATGGACTTTGCACACTTTGGCCCAGGGTAGCCAGACCTGCTGGCCCAGCATCAGTGGAGGGACACAACAGAGGGATGAGCCATGCGCATCACCTGAGATTCCAGGAGCTGCCCAAGGCCTTCACCCAGCACTGGCCAACAAGGCCTTGCAGGGCACACAGTTGCTGACCACCCACCACCTCTGGGGTGCATCGTTTCACCTTTTTTTTTTTTTTTTTTAAATTTATCCTCTGTTGGTTGTTTCTTTTGCTTTGTAGGTTTGGCTGTTTTTTTTCTTGCATGGTTTAGAGCCCATCGCTTCTCTCTTGCCCCATAGGGGACCAGCGGGCCAGGCCTACCACCTCCGCCCTTGGGGTGCCGTCCAATTCAGTCTATTGGGACTTGCTTTACTGGGGCTATGGACTTATTGTTGCTTTTTTTCCCTTAAATCTCTTTTTTTTGCAGAAAGGACTGCTCATTCTGGGATCTTCCTGACTGGTTGGAGTAGTTGCCTGGTTGCTGTTTTAATTTAAAAAAAAAAAAAAAAAGGTGGGACAAAAGGTTGTGTGAGACTATGTGAGACAGTGACCAACCAGTCTTTCCTTTCTTTGGGAATATGTGTGGCCTCAGAAGATGTTATTACCCAGGGGCAGGGCCTGGGCAGTATGACTAGGAGAAGGGGCCACTGACCAGGAGGAGGAAACACAGGCTCCCAGAGGGCTATGATGGGGTACTGTATTCAGAGCCATCTGGGAGCCAGAACTGGTTGGCATACTCAGTCCCCAGTCACAAGCAGAGTGGTCATGCTAGATACAGAATGGCTGATGCACCAGCTGTTACGCCCAGTGCCTCATGCTTTCACCACACTTAGTGCTTACAACTACTCTGGGTGGTAATGTTCTCATTCCTAGTAGACAGGTGGGAAACAAGCCCAGAGAGTGAAGTAACTTCCCCAGAGCCACAGAGCTTGTCAGGGACAATGCTAGAATTAGGGGGATTTGCACCCAGACCATTTGACTTCAGAGTGATCATGGAGGGAAATTTCTGGTTGTTATGGGGGCACGTAGGAGCTCTGATAGCACAGTGCTTAAGGCACTTGGCTGCTAACCAGAAGGCAGGCGGTTCAAACCCACCAGCCACTCCTTGGAAGGAAGGTTGGGCAATCTACTTCCGTAGTGATACCACCTCGGCAACCCAAGGAGGGGTCTCTATGAGTTGGGTCCGACTCGACGGCACATAACAACAACAACAACAACATGGGGGCAACATGAGAAACCTGGTGTGAGAAAGCAGGGCTTCAGACTGATTTGTTCTAGTTTGTTCCCTTGCTGATAATTTGCATTTCTGCCCCAGATATACTGAATCAGAATCTAAATTTTAAAAGATCCTCAGGTGATTTTATGTATATATGTGCAAAAGCCCTGAGGCACTGAAGGAAGCCCATGGAGTTGGTGTGAGAGCATGAGGGCTGTGGGGCAAGATGAAGCCAGGGAAGGCTTTGGCATCAGAGAGGTCCAGACTGAACTCCAGCTCCACTATTGAGCCCATTTCTGTGGGCAAATCTGAGCCCATTCCCTCATCTGAAAAGTACAGACAAGGGTACAAAGTGTTCTTGGAGATGGCATCTTGTTCCTTGCCACAGATAGAGAAAGTGAGGCGTGGGGACAGGACATGTACCCTGGAGAGGGCTCTGAGGAGGGTGGGGCAGCTGTATTTAGACCCCCTTGTCAGGGTTCAGTCTGGCTCTACAATCCTTGAGGCCTGTGCTGAGCTAGAAACCCTGCTTCATCAGACTGATGCAGTAGGGCATTTATTTGGTCAGTAAGCAGAACTGTGTTTGGCTTCAGGCATAGTTGAATGCAGGGCCCAGTTAATGTCCTGAAGAATTTGTGTCCATTATAGCTGTTTTTTCCTAGGCTCAGCTTCACTCTTCCCTCATGAGAACAAGTCAGGACCCCTGGTACCCACCAGCTCAGCAAATGGGGTCAGCACTATAGCCCAAGTCCCAGGGCTGCTCTCATTTGCTGGGAAATGGTCACTTACTCATCCTAAAGCCAATCACAGGCCATTGGTGGAGTGTGTGTCAGAGGTGTTGCCCAACCTCATCTCAAGATCTGAGTGAAAGGCTCCAATGTCCCTCATCAGACATGGGGCATGGATTCCCATGAGGGCCTGTTCTTCTCTGCCTCTGCCCACCAGTCCTCTCACCCTCAGCCAGAAGCAAATCTGGCTCTTGCCTCCACACGGTCCGTAGCTGGGACATGCTTCTGCCTGTGAACAACCCTTCTCTGGTTCAGAGAATGCAATGGGCATTTGACCCCCACCCTCCTTCATGAAGGTTTGCTCTCACCACAGGGCTTTTGACTGGCTGTGTCCTCTGCCTGAAATGCCTTCCCCTCTCCTCTCCTGCCCCCACTGCATATCTGTCTGTGGCTGGCACCCCATCACCGTTCTGTTTTTCAATTGTTGCCTTCTCTGCAAGTCTTCCCTGACCACACTCGCTCAGCCTCATTCCCAACTCTTCCAGTCCATTAACCTGCTTTATCTGGGCAGAGTTTGAACTGCCATTGTGCCCCGTGAGAATCGGGATCAGTCAGGCCTAAAATAGTGCCAGACTACTGGAGCAAGCATAATTTTCCTAGAGTGGTGTGGGAGCGAGCGAATCCAGCGTCCTGCAGTGTGCACACCCTATCCTAACCCCAGTCCGAGGGCGCGGCCTCGGTCTTCTCCCCCTGCGGCCGCCAGGGGGCGACAGAGCCCCGACCTTGACCGCATTCCCGGGAGCGCCGCCCGAGCCCCGCCCCAGAGAGCTAGTTCTGGGCTCTGCAGAGCCAGCCATTGTCGGAGAGTGGGAGATAGCCGGAGACAGCCACAAGTGGGGGTGGGGTGGGATGTGAGGGTATTGTTAGGTGCTGTCCAGTCAAATCCGACTCATGGCGACTCTACAACAGAACAAAACACTGCCTCGTTCTGTGCCATCCTCACAATCATCGTTGCGCTTGAGCCCACTGTTGCACCCAGTGTCAATCCATCTAGGTGAGGATTTTCCTCTTCTTCGTGGACCTCCTTTACCAATCATCATATCCTTCTCCAGGTCCCTCCTGATAACATGACCAAAGTAAGAGAGAGGAAGTTTGGCAATTCTCACTTCTAAGGAGCATTCTGACTGTGCTTGAAAGACAAATTTGTTTATTCAAGGTGAGGATAGGGACTGAATATTTTGGAAGGGAGAAAGTGCCTGTGCTGTGGCTCCACTGCGCCCCTGCATCCGAGCCCACTGGCCTACTCGTCCCTTGGGGATGCGGAGGCAGCTTGGAGCCTGCAGCCCTCCTAGCGTAGGGTGACAGGGCCTAAGGCCAGATTCATCCACAGGTTCTCACAGGGGCACAACCCTTTACATCTGGCAAATTTCTCTACAGTTTACAAAGTGCTTTATCATTTGCAAAGTACTCTACAATTTGCAAAGCACTACAGTTGCAAAACACTATAGTTTACAAGTCACTCTACAGTTTACAAGGGACTTTCCAGTTACAAAGCACTTTACAGTTTACAAAGCACAGTTTACACAATAATTTACAGTTTGCAGAGCACTCTACACAATTTCAAAGTACTTAATAGTTTGCAAGTAGTTTACTGTTTGCCAAGCACTTGACAGAAAGTACTTTGTAGTTTGCAAATTTGTCTACAGTTTACATATCACAGTGGACACTGGTGTTCACTAGCCGGTCACCATGCATGGGACCTTCAGTGTTTATAAGGGATGTTCAGGCATTGATTGGGGGAAGCCAGACTGTGCAGACCACTTTATATTTATAAGGCCTTGGACAATTTATAAAGCCCATGATCTCAGTGAAGCTCCCCTTGCCACAATCCTTGCCTCAAGTGGCAGGGCTCTCTCTGTGTTCCCAGGCCCTGGGGTGGGGGTGCAGAGGACAGGGACTAACCAGGCTCCTTTGCTGAGGCAGAATGTTTCCATTTCCCACCAGGCAGCATGGGTAGGGAGATACCTGTTCCAGACTGGGATTAGTGAATCTCTGGACTGACAGGGTAAAGACTCATGGTCAGTCAGCTTCCATTCTAGCCATGAGCGTCCTCACCAGGCAGCATTAAAAATGCAGCAGACAAACCTGGTCAGAGCAGGGAGTCAGCCTTAGAGGGAGGGAGGATTTGGTGACTTTGCTTCTAGAGGTCAGGGAGTATCAGCTCAGGTCTCTCCTCAAAACCCTGCTGTGGCTCCCACCTGCCTCAGTCAAGGCCTCCCATTAATTTACACCACCCAGGCCTCCATGACTTCCCAACTTCACACACACACACACACACACACACACACACACACTCTTAGCCTCACCCACGATGTGCGTCAAGGACACGGCCCCCAACTGGCTAATGTTCCTCTCAGATACCACTTCCTCTAAGGCTCCCAACCACTCTATCTTTTCTTCATTGAGTTCATGGCCACCTAGCTTGTTGTCGAAATCCTTGTCCATACCTGCCTCCCCTACCTGTGAGTGCTCGGTGACACAGTGGACAGAGTGGGTATGGGAAAATTGCCCCTCAGCCCACATCCCAGCGCAGAAACCAAGCAGCAGGCCCCAAGAGTCAGGCCCTGCCAGGACTGTGTCAGAGCTTAGGAAGTTGTATCCTACTTATTCTGGGGTGTTATCCTGGAAGGGTGCTCCAGGGGCAAGCTAACCCCTTTATTACACTGATGTAATCCAGCATCCTGCAGTGCATACACCCTGCACCTCTGAGAAGGGATAGGGCCAGATCAAAGCCACAGGGCAAGCAGCACCGAAGCTGGGAACTGAGCTCTGAATTGAGGGCCCCTTTCCATGTTGGTAGCCTAGCCTGCCTTTCTGAGGGCAAGTTCAGGGCACGGTTCCAAG